TTTTTTTTGTAGCCCGATGCTTGGGCTCTTTTTTCCCTCGACGAACCTTAAGTTTCTCGTATTCCAATATTGGCACAGTAATTTGCAGCGACCGCGCCACATTTGCGTTTGCGCCGGTGGCTGTGAGTCTTGTGGCTGTCGTCATATCAGGCCATTTTGTTGTTAAACTGGGAAGCCACGTTCAAGAAGCATAAGCGTTGGAAACATCCAGACAAGCTGCATGTTCAAACACCCATGTGGTGCGTTGCTGACGTAAAACCAGCGGAAGGTATACAAAGTTGAATAAGCCCGGGCGTAGCCACCAGACCTCGACCAGGTATAAACCGGGCCTAGAGGTCACTGCGCCCTAGGGCGTTTGGCGCCCTTTTTGTTTTTTCTCTCGATATTTTGTAATTCATTTGCGTAGTTCATGACGCATCCACGAGATGTCGGCAGTGTCCGCACTTACGCGGATAGTCCTCTTCAGCCATTTGGTGCTGGGCGTGGACGGAAAGGCTGGGTCCACGCAGGGGTGTCAATCTTTGTAAATGATTGGGGGGGGGGGACAGGCCGGGGGCTCAGCGACCTCCCCCGTTGTTTCAGCGTGCTTAACCCACTTTATTTTGACGAAGACAATTAATATTTTGAATTTTAGGTCATCTTGACATAATATTTGATTTAAGCAGCATAGACAGGCAGAGGCGGACCTGGGGGAGGGGAAGGCACTGGATAAACGTGCCCCTACTGATCGGAAAGTATAGGTACCCCTCTTGAGGACGCCTAAGAGCGCCGAAGTTACTCGTCCATGGCAGCCATGGGCATCAACACATATTTTCGGTTGTGGTGGACCGGGACGGGGTTAGTTTGATGGACTTAGGTCCTGTCTGTGCTTTAAAGAGTTTCAGTTTTAACTCTCGTTTGAAGCTTTCTCGTTTTGAGCTCTCAGTTTGACCCTTTGCGCGCCTTATGGCCCAAGGCGTATACATTTTACTGCATCGTTCATCCTCTCAGCACTTACAATTTCTATTTGGTGGTGAAAGCAGACACGACTTTTTATTACGCGTAATAAAAAGCCGCGTCTGCTCATCCCTGTTCTCGCGAGAAGAGGGATGTTATTATGTTGACAGGCGCGATGGTTTATAACTAAAACATGCATGTTTTGTGTTTATGGCGCAGTAAACATCCGGCTACATCAACGGATCCACTTACGAGGCTTAGTGACCAAACCATCCATACAAATCACAAAATTTACTCAAATTTTCTCGCTTACTCTTGGATATATGGCCCAGCGCCCCTATGTAAAACAGTGCCGTGTTAATTCGAGTTACGACTTGTGCGCTACTCGCGGGCGGCGTGAGAAACATTTGGTGTGAATTCCGGCGGCGTACAACATTTCTTAATTCAACCATGTCATGGCATCCACAGTTACAACCATCAACAAAATGATAACCTTTTATGCTCAGCAATGCTTGATTATGCTTAAAAGGAACCCATATCAAACAACTTACATTGACTATACTCGTATGAGATGAAGGCTAAGAGCAATATGCTTCAAATAAATCCATACAATGCGTTGTAAAAATAGCGGTGAAGATGAATTTGTTATAACTAGCGAAGAAAATGCACTCACGTATGCATTAACAGTGCCACCGCATGCGTGCTTCTTGTTATATTATTGCTACGCACCTCGCGTGCGCGTAAATTTCGGTTGGATTGATGTATGTTGTGCTATGTAAGTCAGTTTAATTTCACGGAGGCTAATTCTTCCTCGACCTTACAAAGTGATGATTGGCCAGCCTACAATATAAGTCTGACCTGAATGCGCAAGACAACTCATTGCTAAATGGGGTCATCCTTTGTCGCACACGACAAACTACTTCTCCCCTGCAGTCTGAAGGTTTGATTTAGTCCAAGCCCGTTGAAATCCCCGCAGCCACAAAAGAGCGCGGCTAAGAAATTTGTGGCGCATTTGCCACATGATTCCAGATGACGCTCAAACTGTCCTCTAACGTTACAATTGTGCAGATAAATGTCACGCGTCCATCCGAGTTTGACTATGCTTGACTGCTTTCTAGATCACAAGAAATATCTCTTGACGAAAATAGGCAGTAAATGGGCAGTTAACAGGCATCGCCTTTCTTCCAATCAGCAGGCGCGGCGCGCAAATGCTCGCAAAAACTATATTGCCGCGCAAACACACCCATCAACGTGTCGGAAGCCGGATTTCGGTAGGGCGCTGAAGTTATGACCACATTTGTGGTGTGGAAAAACGCGTGGTGGTGGGTCCTCGTATATGACTCGTCAAATAAGGTCACTTGGCTCTTGGTTTGATAGTGTCAGCATGGTCGCAGGGCGGCCCATAGTCGTGTAGTCGCATGCCACGGTAAAGGTCTTTTCGTGCTGTCTGGATGAGAGACTGAGACAAAAGGGATCAGCTGAATGTGCATTCCAGTAATGGGATGGTCGGTTCGGAGTGCTAGCAATAATTTGTGTTCAGCACAGAATGAATTTAAAGATTCGCCCCGGCAAACTTTCGTCTTCCGTAGTGTTCCTCATTTTGTAGCTGAACTGACCCTATCATCTGAACTAACGGCGCCACGCCAAAAAATACCTGACTTCGTTTTCTCATGAAACCCTGTATCAAAGAAATTCGGGTTTCAAATTAGAGTAAAACAATGTTAGGTTCGTGGCCCACCACGGGGACTAAGTCGTTCGGCATAAAGGAGTCCATGAGACGGGTGGATCAGCGGCACCGATGTCATGTTTGGGTTGCATCAACAAAAGGCCCGGGCCATCTCGACCAGAGCGATGCACCGCAGCCCTGCGTGGTGCACAAATATTGGCCGGGGCCACGTGACCTGCATCTGGGTCGGGCCGCCGGCGCGTGGGGAGCGGGATCAGAATACCGGAGTGTGTGAGTGGGTGAGTGCGGGCACGCAAGACGTGTGTCCAGCGGCCTGGGGCTGTGGAGGTTACCAATACGCCGCGAGACGTACACCGTAGCCCATCATAACCACGCTCGCGACTCTTTTGGAAGACCACTTACCAATCATCAGGACGGAACGCGCATTAATAGGCGATCCTGTATCCATTCACATTTAACTCACTTGGCCTGCAACTCTGCACTATGTATATTCAGTTATGTACGATGTGAAATTGATTGGCCTGGAGAGTGTAGGGCGAAGATGTGGTACATAAGTCTCTGAGAGAGGTAAACCTATATACTGGGAACATCACATCTTCCAGGGGCTTAAAGTAAAAAGATCAAAATATATGTAGTGTGTTAGAGAAGTGTCGTAGGCGGAGGCTATCCCACAAACAATGCCCCTGTGAAGAATGTCATTTTTGCTGCAGAAAGCGGTAAATATCAAGAAAGAACTGTTTGTACATGCTGGTGCAGGTCCGAATAGAACTAAAACGTCTCGTTGCAAAATGTTCAATGATGCTTGGCTTTTTCAATGTTTCCAAAAGCATTCATGGCCCCTGGATCTTCGCATGGACCCGTCCACCCTGAATCCGGCCACTGAGCGCCAAGACCGGGCCAGATCCGATAACACATTTTCGAGGACCCCAAGCGGAACCGCCTGGCCGCCCAAGGTGATGGGCTGACGAATCTCGCCCCTCCTTTTGGTGAAACCCTGGTTGCATGCCTGCATCTGTATCACGAACGTTGGTGAAGGGGGCTGGGTGATTGCCACGTTTTTCACCCCATTCGTGCTATTATGAAGTTTAATCCGCGCCCACGACCGTTGAAGTGTTTAGTGTTGTCGCCCATGAATTGAAAGGCACGAAAGGCGCATGGCATACACGTTTATTGCAGTCAGCATGATGCATATATGATGTCTATCCTTCAAACAAACGGCGAACTCAAAGTACGGTCACAGACCTTTGGGAGAGTCGCCCGCACAAAAACGGATGTCATAGGAACAGAGGCTGTACCGTGATCTAATGTCGAGTAGAAGCTCCAGTTTTCTTTGATAACTCCGTAACGCATACAAAACAAAACTAAAGAATAAAAAATGGTAACATCCTTCAGTTTACGACGGGGGTCATACAGTGACCAATCTTAGTCGCGCAAGCGAAGATACGTTGCAGATACAGTCACTTATAAGTACCCAAATGAAAGCAAAGACGCGAATGTCAAAACACGTTGTTCATCTGCGACTCAGTCACAAAGCTAAAAATTCCAACTTCATAATATCGCACCACATGGGCATAACAGCTAAATTCGGGGATAAGCACCCCGAACGTTCCGGCCCGACACCATCCAGTAACAGTTACCACGCCACCTGGACCTCTCTCCGGTGCATCCACCTGGCGTTCATACAGATACACCATGAGGAGAGGCTCCGCGGACAGGCTCTGCGCCCCGGCCGGCAGTACGAGCCGGCCGGGGCTGTTCCGAGTCGAGCTCGGGGGCGTGCTGGTCCCGTCCCTGCCCCGCCTGGCTACGCCTCACAGACTGCTACGCACGCAGCCACGGAGACCGACCGCTCAGCCTGACGCGAGCACTGCAGCGGGCCGGCCCTGGTCCCCGGGGCGCCGGAGACCGACCGCTCAGCCTGGCGCGAGCACTGCAGCGGGCCGGCCCTGGTCCCCGGGGCGCCGGAGACCGACAGCTCAGCCTGGCGCGAGCACTGCAGCGGGCCGGCCCTGGTCCCCGAGGCGCCAGAGACCGACCGCTCAGCCTGGCGCGAGCACTGCAGCGGGCCGGCCCTGGTCCCCGAGGCGCCAGAGACCGACCGCTCAGCCTGGCGCGAGCACTGCAGCGGGCCGGCCCCGGTCCCCGAGGCGCCAGAGACCGACCGCTCAGCCTGGCGCGAGCACTGCAGCAGGCCAGTCCGGGCCCGCTGGTCTCCGGGGTGCCGGAGACCGCCGCTCGCCCGCCGGCCTGTGTTGGCTGCGCCTTGACCAGCCGCCGCAGGTCGGGACATATACTGGCGCCATCTGTGCGCCACGATACGCTCTCGGCGGGGCAGGCGCGCCCGGCAACGGCACCACACTAGACTGCAGAGATGGCGCTAGAAGATGTCCAGCTGGGACGAGTGCCGCTCGTCCCAGTACGAGTCGGTGAACAGCCAGTCGTCCACCTTCACGTGGGGGTTGCTGCAGCGCTTGAAGTATCTGAAAGCCGTGACAGCAGACGATGATGCAGCGCGGCCATGAGGCAGCCTAGCGATAGTGGCAACGATGTTGCCGTTGCCGGGTGGCTTCAAAGTGAGAAGTAACCGAGCTGCAATTCCGGTGAAGTGCGCCGAGCATTAGCAACATACATGGCAAAAGCAGTCCACACATAGGCCAGATGTGCCACACAATATCGATATTTCCGATCAGAATACAACGATAGTGCATGCCGACTAATGACCGACGCTCGACTCAACCCCAGTACCAAACGGCGCCCAGCAGCATTGCCTCCTCCCCTCCACCCGTCGTCGTCGCCGTCTCACCGCGCTTGCCAGACGTCCTTGCGTTTGCCGCGCGCTTTCCTGGCGTCGCGCTGCTTCTCCTCCAGCCGGTTCTTCTCGGCGGCGGCCAGGTCGATGTTGCCCTCCTCCAGCGCCCGGATGTCGGGTCGCAGCCTGGCGTCACACCAGGAGCGACGCTGTACTGACCGATCCCGGCCCGGCGGCACACACGGCGGCACACACCACAGGACGCCGCGGCTCTTTAGACTGGGACTCGGTCTACATCGGTCAGTCACTTGACCAGATATCGTGATATCGTGATAGTCATGACACGCACGAAAAACAATCAGCTCGATCGATGTATCGGTAACAGCTAGTTAGTCGGCATCGTTCAGCCACTTGACCAGACATTGTGATCTGGTGATGGTCATGACATGCACGAAAAACAACGAGCTCGATCAACGTAGCGATAACAGCTAGTTAGTGCGCGGAGCCCGTGCCATTTTCCCGCGTTGTGCGCACTGGTTGCGGTAGTGCCGACAGCTGCAGGCCCGTGAACGGGGGGGGGGGGGGGGTCGGAACGTGACCCCAGGCCGACCCACCGGCAGTCAGTGCGGCAGAGCTGCAGCTCCGGCTCCGGCTGGTTGAGCGCCATGGCGAAGCTGGTGAAGTTGTAGTATCTGCGCGAGTGAGCCGGCCGCGGGTCGGCCTCCCACAGCGTCACGCTGTTGGGGATGTCGATCGAGTACAGCGAGCTGCAGCGGGGAACCTCGCCGTCGGCGCCCAGCTCGGCCGGGCCGTCCCCGTCGCCCTCCGGACCCGGCTGTCGACGAACAGGCGCAGCGTTGCAGCAGGCGTCACAGCCCGCCGCTGGTGCTCAGACGGCACGGCCGAGGGTCACACCACGGTAGGGGTCCACACAGCGGGCGTCACAGCCCGCCGCTGGTGCTCAGACGGCACGGCTGAGAGTCACACCACAACAGGCGTCTACACAGCAGGCGCCACAGCCCGCCAGTGGTGCTCAGACGGCACGGCCGAGGGTCACAGCACAATAGGGGTCCACACAGCAGGCGCACCGGCCCCTGCATACTATCCAACCCCCGCTCTTGTAATAGGCACTAGGACAGGGAAGAAGTGAACGATGACAACCTTTATTCGCTGAGTTCCACACACCTTTCGGCATTGTAAGCAAACAGATCGAGTGAATGAACATGTTATAACGGATGAAGGCAAACCCAACCTTGCCTTGAGGGGATTTTAACAATTTCACAACATAGTTTGCAGAAAACTTCGTTGGTCACGCTTTGTTACAGCACATGGTGTTCGTGCCGTGTATAAGTTTCTATTTCATTCCAGCTGTTCCTACCTGACCGCAGAAACAAGGTCGTGACGAAAGGTAACAGGTAATAAAAACATCATGGGTTGCCAGTTATTAGCAGTTGTTTTTCAGTGCACATCCTAGTTTGGATAAATCAGAAGTCGCCACCACATCAGACACAAGGTAAAATCTTCGCCCACACTTCAAAGAGTTTCTGACTTTCTGGTTCCCAGGTGAGTGATACAATTGCTAGGTCGATAGCAAAACGCCACCTAGTGACAACCAATGGGATAACGCAAATCATGTTCGTGTTCAGGTTAACAACGTATAACTCCCCCAGAAGGCTGCTAGTGTATCTGTTCCATGCCCAAAGTACCGCGAGCAAACGACAAAAAACAAACATACAACTGATTCATCGAGCGGAAAGGCACCCTGCTCCCTCTGCCCCTCCCCTTAGAAGCACTCCTCCCCCCCCTACGCAATGTGTGCGTGCGGCGTGAATAATCCATGCACGGGGAGCGCCTAACGACGCGTTCAGGGCTCCTTCCCGTTCACCTTGCCGCCAAAATCGATACAATTTGCGTGATGTGCAGAACAGCGTAGTGATCGCTCGGGGCAGTTTGCAGTCCAAACAGAAGTCACCGATGAAACTCTGGCTTTTTAAAGGTAAAAAACATGACGACGGGGCACTGCACCGGGCTTTAACTGTCGCGCAAACGAGAAGGCATCGCATGTGAAGGCTTTGTCCCGCAGCCAGCTTTCCTAGCTTCGTGGACTGCAGGTCAAAAGGAAATGATCAGTTACAATGCTGTATTTTCCACACGCAGGGCCTTTACGACAGACACCACAAACCCCTGCTATTGCATTGATAAGACGGCCGTCATCAATTATGGAGCATTCAGGTGAGAGCGGCAGTAGTGCGGCTTACATGAGTGACAAATGGGTCGACCTGAAGCAGGTGGCGGTGCTCATAGAATGCTAACGCCCCTCGGTTGCACAGAAAACGTCAGGAGTAGCTGTAGGGCCGGACGGCCCCATGCGCTTACGGCGGGCTAGCGGTGCAGGTGGCGGTGCTCATAGAATGCTAACACCCCTCAATTGCACAGAAAACCTCAGGGGTAGCCGTAAGGCTGGACGGCCTGATGCCCCTGCGGCGGGCTAGCGACACCGCATCGGTGGGCGACGCACCCTCCTGTCCTGGGGACTCGCCGACCCGACACCCGACCCTGGTTGGCTGCTTCGGCGCGTCATCCCTCTCCCTCTGACCTTGGTCAGCCGGGCACTCCACCCTCACCTCCCTCTCCGGCGGGGCCTTGAACGTGGTGGCGGTGATGCTGTTGAGCTTGGAAAGTACGCCGCGGTGGCCGACCGGCGCCGGTCTGACCTCGCCGTTCTGACCCGACCTGTGGACAACAGCGGATCAGGTCAGCGGACATCGGGTCACAGTCGGTCTCTGACTGCGTCACTCATCACTGGCTCCATCAAATAGGCACATCGACTACGCACTTGGATAACTGATTGTTTAGGCTGTGGGACATTGCGACTGCTTAGTCACACAGCGTCCATACAAACTTATGACTTATCAGGAAAGTGGGCATTTGGGCGGATTTTCGCCGCCTGACCTTCAACAACGCAGTCCACGGCCACAGGATAACCTAGTTATCTCAAGCGTTCGATCGCTCTACGTCTCGGATGGAAAATAATGTTAGGAAGGGAAGGCGAGCCAGAACAGCTTGGAGGGCTTCACTTGCTTCATCTGGCCAGAGTTGAGCTTCTCGTATTCTTCGTAGGACTGCATGTCCGTGCTGCGCAGGAAGTCTGTCCACTTGCCGTACAAGAAGCGGCGGCGGACCTTGCTGCAACAGAGCAACTCATCTCAACGGCCATCGAATCACAGCTGACGCACCACACCGAGCCTCCGTCACCGCAAACGAGGCACGGAAGCAACAGCTGTGCGCGGGACCGTCCACGTCAGACCCAGCGTCGATGTTGTAAAATGAAGAACCGTCGCCGATCGTGTTTTCACATGATTGGCCATAAATCGGTTTAAGTCGAAGTTGCTAAAGAACATGCTGTCACGGTAGGTAAACTACAAATATTATTCGTAGCTGCATATTTGTTTTGCTAGCTTTTAAATTCTGGATTCAAGTAGAGGGAAACAGTGCCCCCAGTGATGGCACTTCGCTTTAAACTCATGATTTCTGACGTCGCGCCAAAATTTTTGCACCCAATTGTCTTGAATTCAACCAGATGTTCTCTATCCCAGAAAGTATTCTCAGCGCTACGAGGAAAGGTCAACTCAGGCACAAAGACGTCTTCAAGCATACTTAGGATCCTGACAGACCAATGCAGTTGGCAAACTTGAGGACTACAGCCTAACACGGATACTTAGCAGAACACCCCATTCGTTACTGATAGCGGCAATTATCTACTTTCGCGCTGGAAGGAGCCGGCGATGTTAAAAAGAACCAATTATCCTACAGCACTTTTCATCTGGCAGACTAAGGACTTAATTTCAAGACTTTCATTCTGATTTTCAGGCAATTTGCGCGCTCTACGCTAACGAACGGCCAAAGTTGAGCGGTCATAAGTTTCTGTCAGCGGCCGGCTGTCGTGAGCCGCCGGCCACGGCCGTAATGCAGTTCAGCTGATTTTCGAGCTCCGCACGAACAAACCCATAGCGTGATATTGGCATTGACACATTGTTGTTAAATAACGTTGTGCAAAATTACGGTATGCTGTGCTATTTCACTCGGCACCTTTTTGTTTGACAAGAGCTCGCTCGCTGTGCGGGTTTCTGCGAGGTTAGCTGAACAAAATAGTTCAAAGTTGGCACTTGCAATTCCTTTGGACATGCTCTGATTGTCAAGGCACGTTTTCAGTTGGAGCCGTTGTCTCATTTTGAGAGAACAAATCTGGATTGTTCTAGTTTCTATCCCTTAAAATTTACCCGGGCATGGGGGCGGATTACCGCTACCCGTGAGTTATTTTTCGGCTGGTTTCGCTGAAACAGCTTGCGAGCAGGTTGCTGAAATTTTGTAATTTTCATAAATATCTTTCCTAGGCATTTTGTTGAAATTTCCGGCGCAATTACAGGTAGCGCGCTTTCAGCACACGGTACTGGAAGGCCCACCAATACAATTTGTCGATCATGCCGAAACGGCGATCTCCCCGAGATTACACCTGTTGCCCTGCGTTCACAGGGGTAGATGATGCTTCCAATGATAACGACAGCCGCAACAGGAGCTCCGTTATCACAATATAGCAGAGAAGCGTGGCGCAGGTGTTTAAGGGGATGGAGTGGGGAAGTACGCGGAAACCGTTGACACCAAGAGTACGGTTTCATTCCCCATGGTGCCCGCACTTCCTGTCAGTGAAGTGAGAACCCCTGATAATGTCTACGCCCTTCCTCGCAGGGAGGCAGGCAACGACGTACAGCCTCAGCGGCTGCGTGCATCGCAAAACCCCACCGACAGCAATTTTTAACTATCCCAATAGGCACCTCAGCAATTCCTGTCGCCAAATTTTGGTTTATGCGTACTTTTCTGACAAGAAAGCAAAACCTCGTCTCATTTCCTGCGGATACTATCACTTAACAACTCGTTTAAACATAGTTTAGTATCACCATGTTCTGCATCTCCTGGATACGCCTATAATTTTAGAATCCTGTCGCGATACATCGATTTCAAATAATTATATCGATCTGCGTCGGTTTCGTCGGCATCGATTGAAAACTGGGTAACTACGTCGGATTACAAAGGGTACCTGAATTTTCGGATTTTTTGCCCCTGTTGGCGCCGATAAGTAATGCACGAGATTTTCTTTTTAAGAGGTATGGGTACTGTCAAGATAAAACAAACGCCATCCGTAACGATTAAACCTATGAGGTGACAAAACGATGTGATCCTAATTGCTAACATAAGCAGGGGAAGAGAAGAGATGTCGGCAGACATAAAAAACCTGACGGGACAACACGGCACGGTATCAACATATAAAGAGAAGAACAAACATTGGAAAGCACGAAAACAAACGTACGCTGGAATGATTGGGGCAGTTACCTTTTGTCGGCAACGAAGCCCTCCAGCCTGTGCAGTTCCTTGGAGAACCAGCCAGCAGGTTTGAACAGAATGGTGCACTGGTCCCCTGTAATGTGAGAGTGGCCGACATGCTAGGTCAGCGACGACGGAACCACACCAGGGTGGCACAGAATGGTGCACTGGTCCCCTGTAATGTGAGAGTGGCCGACAGGCTAGGTCAGCGGCGACGGAACCACACCAGGGTGGCACAGGATGGTCCGTGAGTCTGTCGGTAAAATCTCGGCAACTTGTGACCAATGTTTTGACGATTTTCACCGCCTTCCGATAAAATAATACACATTCTACAAACTGTTGTGCGATGTTTGCAGCATGCAATACACAAAAAAATATACTGCCGTCAGCACGCAGCTCTAAACTGGTGTAAATTGGTGGGCAGTGTAGCAGCCGCAGCGTACGACTTATATCAACTGGCATAGGCGGATCCTGGGGGAGGGGGGGGGGGGCCCGGGGCCATGCCCCCCCCAAACAACTCTTAGAGTATGTTTTGGCCCCACCCCCAAAACATTCCCAGAACTTCATAAACTTTCGTCCACTTACCGTCTGCTTTAACTTTGATGGTGCGGTATCAAACATTTAATTTGACATTGCATCCTGACTCCTGACCGGCTCATCATTCATCTCGTTCCGCAGCGCGGCTCACCGGTGTGCCCGCCCGCCGCAGCCGCTCCGCAGCTGCCACCACGCTTCATAGCCACTAGAATCATCCCTTGTCCGGCCTGATCACTCTGTTTCACCGTTTGTCACCCTGATCACCATTTGCAGTAAACCCCATCTGACCACTTGACTCTTGAAAGTAATATCTTATGTTACGAGCTTTGTAAACATGCATTCTGTATATAGAAGACTCAAAAGCATTTCGGTGCTTGAATGGTGTCCCTACTGGGTACTCGCGAGAGGCACTATGCACTGCATCTCGGATCCCACGCCAGCCAGCTGGCGACGAACAGTTGCCCCCCCACCCAAAAAAAAAACAAAAAAAAAACTCCAGGCTAGATCGGCCCCTGCCCACTGTCCATATATTTACGCAGCTTTGAAGCTACTGGAGGTGCTTTGGCGCTCGCAATTAGAAGTCAGTAGCAGCGGTAAAATTGCCCGCCGTGATTAAATGGTAGGCACCCCTAGATATCGATTGGTAGTCCCAGATAAGACAAAGTCCCCAGAAGAAGCCTCACAGGTGGCCAATACGAACATCAACACTACCGTCCCTACGCGTTGCTTTTTGCACGTCAGAATTCCACAACTGCTTTGTCTCCCGTTTGCCAAGCCCAGGTGCCGGTACCCGCACCGGCAGAGCCTCCGGTAATGATCCGGCACCTCGCCACTCACGAGGCGACGTGACCCGAACGGATCGCAGCTGGCAGCAGCTGCCGGCGGTGAGCGGCCGCGGCCACCGTCGTACGACCGGAGCCGGCCAGCGCTCACCGTTGACAGCAGCTGCCGGCGGTGAGCGGCCGCGGCCGCTGTCGTACGACCGGAGCCGGCCAGCGCTCACCGTTGGCAGCAGCTAACGGCGGTGAGCGGCTGCGGCCGCTGTCGTATGACCGGAGCCGGCCGGCGCTCACCGTTGGCAGCAGCTGCCGGCGGTGAGCGGCCACGGCGCTGTCGTATGACCGGAGCCGGCCGGCGCTCACCGTTGGCAGCGGCTGCCGGCGGTGAGCGGCCACGGCGCTGTCGTATGACCGGAGCCGGCCGGCGCTCACCGGCGGCAGCAGCTGCCGGCGGTGAGCGGCCGCGGCCACCGTCGTACGACCGGAGCCGGCCGGCGCTCACCGTTGACAGCGTCTGCCGGCGGTGAGCGGCCGCGGCCGCTGTCGTATGACCGGAGCCGGCCGGCGCTCACCGTCCGCCACGGGCCGGGCAGTGATTACGATCGACCGTGCGACGACGGCCGACAGAGCCGGCTCGCGCGCCGCTGGCCCGTCCTGCCGCCGCGCCGTGACGTCAGGCGCACCAGGCCGGCCCGCCGCTCGATGACCAAATTCCGCATGGTCCGCATGTGGGACAGCTGGGTGCCAAGCGCCCGCCACCGACCCACCCACTGTCCGTCTCAGAAGCCTGGACCGGCGGCGCACACGGAAGCGGCTTTGAGGGCAGGCAGCTCGCGCACTGCGAGACGGCGAGCGGACCCAGCGCACCAGCACGATAAATACTTAAGCAACTCAATGGCTTCATTGATTCAAGTGGTTCACTGGCTTCTGCGCACTACAGGGGCAGACAACTGCCACGGAGGCACAAGCCCAAGTGCCGAACAAAAAGAGGAAACCGGCCCCATTCGAAAGAACGTCACGCAGGGGCTATGACGGTGGACAACTGTCACGTGCCCACAATGAACCTATTACGGGCACACGGAAATACATCCGCATCGATACGAAGTGGCCGTGTACTTCCCGACTCGCCATCGATATTGACTGTATCCGGGTTATCCAGGCGCTGTAATAACCCGGCCGCCAACAGCGGCGTGCCCACCACTGCACGTGGCGGGCCGGAGCAGCTGCGATAGCGCCCCAAACAGCGCCCGGTCCCGGCACCTGCACGCCATCGAGCGACGGCTCGGCTGTCTCCAGCCGCGAGGTGGACGGCACTGCTCGTGATCCCTGCTGACAAACCACTCCCCGCTGACGTGATCAGCTGTAAAAATACGCCTCCGAACGCCGTGGGCGAAGCCTGTCATAGACGACAAGCATCGTCATAATGGAGCGTCCTGCTTCGATAGTCAATCCATTAGTTAAATCATGCAAGACGTGACCAATATGAGGGCTGATAGGAAAGTGTCAACGCTAACCAAAAAGCCAAACAAGTCACGATCGGGTGGATGTAAGACAATTGAAATATTGTCTCTGGAAAGCATGGGAAATCCTTTACCCCATGATGGTAGTATCCGGTCACCACATACGTAAATACAGTTGCTAGATCTGCCCATGCGAAACGATGTTAACATCCCGCGTAACACGCTACTTATCGATGAAAGGTCACGTAGCTCGGTGTGCCCAGGATTCAAACCTCACAGAAACGTGGACCATCTCGGTACACGTCGAACTCCTGTCAATATTTTGGAGAGTGCCGGAAAGCCGAGATGACGGTCCCATCGTAATGAATCTGCCACTCCTCTGAGATTTTGCTGGCGTTCACTTCTGCGCCATAAGACAATAGACCACGTCCGCGAATATGTGAGGGTGATTTGAGACTCTTCCAGCAACTGCACCTTGGAAGGAAGTGGGCAACAAGAAGAATACGCAAAACGTCGGAAAGGCAAGGTGTACAGAATCAGTAAAAAAAAGTCGACGCCGGTGGTGAACACCGTCGCAAGATTGGGAATGCCTGCTCCCGCCCTCGACGAAGGCGAATGAGGCAGTTCTATCGTGAGGCATCCATCGCCAGTCGCGGTCCCCGTTATGAGCCTGCATCGAAGCGAGCTTCAGTAACGGAATGGTGGGCGTGGCTGGCTTCGCGAGTTGTGCTTTTCAGCACGCCTTCTTTGTTCTATATGACTTGACGCGAAGCGGTGCCGAATTGCTACCACTCACTACGGCACTTGTGTTTCGCGCGAAAATTCAACAACTTCACAAGCTATGGTAACCACATTCATCACAGAAACCGCAGCTACGCTCATTTCAAAGTAAAGTTTCCACGCTTTTATATGATGTGACTAACACTGCCCTACAACCACCCAGGCACGAGAGACTTACGCTCAATTGAATTTTTAAGCACCTTTGGACCGCTGTATACAAGGTCATATTTATAGCACATAAATACATGCGTGATTGCGTGCGTGCGAGTGTGCCCGTGCATGCGTGCTCGTGTGTGTGCGCGTGCGTGTGTGCGTGCGTGCTCGTGTGTGTGTGTGCGTGGGCGCGCGTGTTGTGCATTGCATCCGCTTCAAGCCTCCCTCGGCAGTGACCACCTACACTCCAATGACTGTAGCTACCTATCATCAATGCCCGGGATGGGCCGGATCAAGCCCGGCCGGAGGGCCGACTGACAAGCTATATGCGGTACACGGCCGGATACTGCGCGCGCTATCTGACCCCACACCGGATGGCTTATGCTGTTCCATTTGCATCGCAGCCCATGTGTTGGGAAAAAGTTCGTCGCTCCAAAGTCAAGCCGCTGATGACAGCGCCAAAGCGTACCAATCGCATACCAATCGCAATCGCCATCGCAATATAAGCGTACCAATCGCGCCAAAGGTACCATATACGCATACCAATCGCATCAACTCGACAAATGGTCAGCGGGACTTCAAAGAGAAGTAGGTGATTAAGCCCGATGACCTGGACTGGTTCATTTGGTTGCGACCCGTTAGCTGTAATTGCAGGCACACGCCATTGCTGGAGCCAAATCACTTGGTTGTTGTAAAACGATAAGCAAGGTCCAGGCCTTTGAAAAATATACGCAACTTGTGCATAACATGACACCAGTTCGAACGTGAACGGCATCACCTGAGAACCGCAGGTCATGCACGCTTGCAGCTGTTAGAACAGGGCTCCGTGCACGCGAAAGCTAGAAAATCGCTGGCGAAAACCAAGGTCACGGCCCGGCACGTGCACAAACATCACCCATGAATTTCCGACAATCCCGAACCCAGCCCAGCGCGGGGCCGGAATCAGTCCGGAGCCCACCGAGCTGGGGGCGAACGCAGTGTGGAACTGATCTTCGTTCCACAAAATGATCAGTCTATCGCCGCCGTCTTGTGCGCCAGCACGCACAAAACGTTTCGGGCACGAGATTGGGGATATCAGCTGACAATTAACCAGACTTTTACATGCCGTGAGGTATTAGTTTAGCGACTTTATCAAGGGGGTATTGGCTGCATTGGCAAAACTCGACATCTCTTAGCTACGCTCCGTTGTCGTCATGTGCACAGCTTCGAAACGATTTGTGTAAATATAGACAATCCACCCTTGATTATGTTGTTTGACCATCACATTCTGGTACTGATAGTAGATTATCGTCAGAATAAGATCATCTATCAAACAATAAAGAAATAACGTAGAGCTCCAAGATCAGTTCTTTCTTCGGCCGTCGCCAGTTGTTCTTGAGTCATGAAAAGAATGAGGATCAGGTGTTTCACTTTGAGCTTCACCTTTTACGTACGTGCCATAACACGAATTCCTTCCGTGGTATTGCTGGAATTCGAACCGGGGTTTAGTGATTACCAGTCGAGCGCTCCACCACCGAACTAGCCGGGAAGGACATATGCCTCGAGGTCGAACGCTGGAATCAGGTGGATGGTCCTGCCTTGAATCCCAGCAACTCGAAGGAGAACACTCGAATTGGCATGCAAGTATGGTCGAATGCTGAAGGTTGGCTGGCATGCGAGTATGAAAGAACGCTTGAGGTCGAACGCTGTACTCAGGTGGATGGCCCTGCCTTAAATCCCAGCAACTCGCAGGAGAACACTCGGGTTGGCATGCGAGTATAGCTGAGAGACAAACAGCATCCCGCTCTTCAGAGGGCTCGAATAACACCGGGCGACGGCGGGAGAATTACACCGGCCAAGACGTTGTTTACATACTAACGCCCCAGGCCAGCAACGCGGCCCGAAAACTTACCCCATGCGTGATACCAATGCCTCATCTGAATCATTCTCCACCGAGTCGTGGTAGTTTTCGAGAGAAGCACAGAAAGTTCATTTTCCCGCGAAATCAGGCGTGTTGTTGAAACATTTGGGGATACGTGCCCAGCCCCACCTCCGGCCCTACTGATTTCATTCATGGGGCAAGTTCCTGCCTCGGCTGAGCTTGCGCCGCGGCGGTTAATTTCTCAGCTGCAGTGTGATACCAAAGTTTCAAATGATCGAGGCGTCCCAGCGGATCCAAGTTTCAGGTGCGCTACATTTGGTTTTTCACTATCAGTAAATGCGAATGAAGCCGGACAGTCCAAAGGGTTAGCATACAAATCAAATTCATAAATCCGGGAGAATTAAAATGAACCACGATTTGAACGGTGCATAAGTAGCATGGCTCAATCGAAACAAATAGTTCCCAACTACTCACGAATAAGTAAGTTTTGCAGCAGTGCTCACGTACGCAGCACTTCTTGTAAGGTACGTCTTCATTAACCAGTCAAAACATACCATCCACCGGGGCAATTGCTATTATCCATCATATTTTGAGCAACCCATTATCCAGACAATTTACTTTCCCATGTGTCTATAATGAACACGACCATAAACGGCAATACAGCCGGATCCACGCATGGAATAACTGTTCAGGTTGCGGATGGAGTCATTGTTCGGACTATCGTTCTGGCCTGGTGTGTCAGTACGTACACAGCAGTGCTCGTACCAACACACCAGGGCAGGACAACGGTCGGGTGGTGTGAGGCACTAAGGACTGGATGGTGTTTGTCGTCACCTATGTGCGTCCGCATGCCTCGCCATTCTCGGTCGGCTCGGTTGGTAGAGCATTGAACTCGCAACCAGAAGACCCGAGTTCGGATTCCAGCAATATCGAGGGGAGATTTCGAGTCGCGGCGCATGCATGGCTGAATGTCACACATCATCGAGCCCCTCTCAGGACTCCAAACATCCGTGGAGGGCCGGCGAGTCAACTGGCCGAACCGTTGATGATGATGATTTGGGGTTTTAGGGCGCATCGACTGCTGTAGGTCATGCAGCGCCCATGGCCGAACCGTTGTGTGCACATCAATACACCAGACAAGGACAATCGTGCGAACAATGACTCCACCTGTGCCACTAACGCTCCGTCTCCTCCCGTCTGATCTCGAGGGCCCTCGACCCCTGCCCCAACCGCTGACGGCGCGTGCGGCCCCTCGGACCAGATCGTACCGATGCGGTGGTTGGTGATCTCCATGGTGCCATACTGCTCGATCCACAACTTCCCCACGATGATGTTGTGCACGCAGCAGTTGACGTTGCTCCAGGTGTAGGCCTCGTCGTGGCTGCGAGCGGGAGGGGGAGTGAGTCGGCGCCAGCGCGGCTCGGCGCTCAGAACACGGTCAGCAGCGAGCACACGGCCACGGAATCGCTACGGGGATGGCTAGGGCACGGCCTCACACCTGCCAGCCTGTATTGCACCACCCCTCCGACACTCCAGGGGAGTGGAAAATACCGCCCGTTGCCGATTCTTCGCATGATGTGCTTTGTCGAGGACAAACGGAAAACACGACTAAAAAAACAAAACGAAAAATAAATCAAACACGAATCGGCGGCTCCACACGGGCTGGACGGCTCTCACTGACGCCACATGGGTTAAGAGCCGGCAGACGGCCGGAGCAGCTCCGGGTGCCGGCCCGCTGGGCAGCAGACGGCCGGAGCAGCCCCGGGTGCCGGACCCGCTCGGCTGGTGCTTCGTCTCTCCGGTGCGTCCCATCTCAAAGCTGACGAGGTGCGGGCGAGCCGGGCCGGGTCGGGCGGATCAATAGGGCCGCCCCGGTGCGTGGCGGAGGCCGCCTGCCATCCTTCGGGCCGGGCCGCCCCACAGACCCACACTGAAATCGACCGCCTCCCGGCGCACCTGGAGCGCGGCCAAAACTCGGCAAGCTGGGAGACAGCCTGTCCGAACGGAGCAGCACCCGGTGGCACCGCGCAACGCAGCCGTACTATAGCGCGGCAAAACAAGCATCTTCCGTTTCCAGCACCTAACACTGCTGAGGATGTCGTGACTACAAGCGGAGACGTGGCGCCGCCCACGACGCAGTGCTCCCGTTCCGGCCAGGCTCCGCCACAAAACAGGCAGCCAATGGCCTCTTGAAGAATCCAGCGGAGGTGACGGCGTGTATCTAACCAGCATCACACCGCCCCTGAGCCTCACTCGCGGACCATTACGCCTCAGAGCACCCCATGTCTCACCGCCGGAGGTAGCCAATTGGTTTAAGTGTTGGGTTCATGATCCACGGGTCTTTGGGTTTTACTGGTAATTTTAGCTGCGTGAATCATCTGCTTGAGTGACGATGCCACGAAAGCCTCCCGGACGCGTTCAGTCTGTCGGACACGGACAACCCCCTCCCCTCTCCCGCTCCAACGCTCCTGACCTTACGAGTCACGAGCGTCGGCAAACGAGCCATCAACGATCAATGTGTCACTGTGTCATGGCAGCACGAGGCCCGAGTGGCCAGCCCGGATGTCGCCCGCCTTCTCGGCCGGCAGCGGCCCCAGGCGGCGAGGCCGTGTCGGCACTGACCCGGGCAGCTCGACGGTCAGCAGGCCGCGCGGCTCGATCTCCACTGAGCGGCCCCAGAACTTGAGCTTGGGCTGGATCGAGCCGTGAAAACGGAACGCGTCGCCCTCGGCGTGGAACGCTGAGACCGGCGGGTGATGCGACACCTGCTCACAGACCATCCTGCGGGAGGCCATACAGCGCGGGTCATGACGGGCCGAGACCGGGACGGTGGCGCCCCGACCGGCAGGGGCGGGTGGTGAGATACACGCTCACACCACATCCTGACAGGAACGGCAGACGGGTGGTCCAGGCCAGGGCAACACGCGGCATACATTGTCGGTATAAGCAAACTAAAAATATATCGGTTCTGCGACATGAGTGCCACGGCAAAAACTCCAACCGACAAAAGTGATTCGACAATACTTCTGCTGTTACTGCTTACACGCGACATTAGAGCAGCATGAAAACCTATACTTCAAATTTACTTACATCCGGCATTACTTCAACTGCAGACTTCAACGTGACAAAAGTGCCGCACGGAAAAACTTACGCTAAAGTACGTATACCTGCCATTACTTTCACAGCAAATACTTTTGCCGTCTTTACTTACACGCAATATTACTTTTACTGCAGATTTTTACAGGACATCAGTGCTACATGAGAAGTCATACTTCAATAACTTACACCCGCCATTTCTTCTCCTACAAAACTCAGTTTTTATCTATTCACGACATAACTTTTATCGACACTATTGGCGACACTTATTCTAAATGACAACAGTTGTGCTCCAAACGCGTACACACTTACTATTTAATGTTAGGGGTCCTTATTTATACGCGACGTTATTAACCACAGTATTTACTGAGCGAGACCAGGGTGGGTCGGGCCACGACGGGCCGGGACGGAATGGAACGGGACGGAACGGAACGGGCGGAGGCGAGTGCAATTTGATTTGCACATGCCCACATACCTGAAGCCACTTCTGTGCAGCTCAAACGTCTCGCCCAGCAGCGGGTTGAACGGCTTACCCACCCGCTCCCAGTTGGAGGCCAGACCGCTCACGGCGAAGGCGGCCACATACTGGAGAGCAGACACTCATATCAATGGAGACCCGCGCGAACGGCGGAGGGTCAAATGGCACGTCCGATGGGACAACGAACAGGGCACCCTGACCGCTGACGGCACCCACACAGGCTGCGCAAGACACCAGCAAAACCCGTATATTGAGCAATGTCGCTCATCACACCGCCTGCATCTCCCCAGCAGAGGCCAGCCTCGAACCGCTCAACGTAACATGTGATAATTCGGTCGCATTACACTTTGCACACCCATCGACGAATACGGAGGACAAGTCGGGCAGCTGGCAGGTTATTTGACCCACCGGTGTACCGATCAGACTGGCACTCATACGTCAGGTAATACATATTCCACGAGGGAATAACAAGACATTACACGCCGGCGCCGGCATACCAACAGCCATGTCATTTGGTCATTTTGGTAAAGGCAGGAACGGATAGACAACAGCTGTTGGTGTATATTAGTGTTCTAGGACGCGCCGACTGCAATGGTCATTTTGCGCACGTGTAAACGACAGCTGACGCATGCAACGATACACAAAGTAACTCCCTTTTCATATACAGCATGGCGATAGAGGCTTGCGACGGCCCAAACGCCGGGTGAATGTACGTCTGCACTGCTGTCCCGCCAGCCCTCCAGTCGTGTCGCTGCCGGCGGCGGCCGAGACCTGACCTGCATCCTGGTGATGCTGTCCTGCTCCTGGGCGGCGGCCTGCAGCAGGTGCGAGTACTCCATGTACTCCGTCATGCGCTGCAGGAAGCTGAGCGGCTCGTTGAACACCACCGGCATCGAGATCTTGGTCAGCTCCTTGCCGATGGCGCTCTTCAGCACCGACCAAACGCTGAAGTTGTCCGCCGAGGTCTGCTCCTTGGGAAGACGGATCCTGAGAACACGCGCCGAGCTCAGTCTGGAGCCGGCAGACAGCCCGCAGCAGACGTAACTTCTTTGAACGCGTAATGTCTTTTAGACAGAGGCCAGCCGCAGTTCACGTTGATGGGGCGGTATACGGGACACCGCAATCGACGTCGTAGCACAGACAAAAAATCCCATACCAAGGTGGGCCGACTCGAAATTCCAGGATGCGTTGTTCATGTAGGCCTTCTTCACCGACCGTTCCCGGTCAGGTCAGGTGGGCGCAGGTGAAATTCTTTTTGATCCCATGACGTTCCAGAAGGAGCCTCACCGGGGGATGTGCTCCAACCCTGCCCTGGCTGATCTACAGAAACGACATCTACGATGGTATGCCCTCAGACGAAGAATGATCCTTCTCTGCAGACGGTGTTAACCTGCTGGCAAACGGCCGCACCATCGACGGCTGCAGCTAGCGACTCCAGGTCTGCGCCGGTCGAACTGACGCCTGCTTGAGACAACGGAAGGTGTCGCCCAACATCAGCTGGTGCCGCGTCACCAGTTCTTCACCCGAACTAAAGGAGAGCGGCAGCGAGATGAAGCCGACGATGGCGCTAAACAGTCGGACTCTCGAGGCACGCGTCACGCAGACGCCTTCGGACGTGACCGACCCGAGGAACAAGATGGTCCGCAGGCGTCCGTGCGGGCGGACGCTCGCCGGCGGCGCGTCCCGGAGCCATCGACGCGAGAGCAAGGCAGCCGGCAACGGCACGTGCAGGGTATGTGCGACCATGGCGCCGCCGTTCCCGGGGCCTCTATCCGCTCCGTCGGCGCGAGAGGGATGAAAGCCGAACAAAACGAGGGCAAAACGACGCGCTAGTGTGATAACGAGATGCCTGAGGCTGACCAAGACGGACGCGCTGGTAGCAAACATCACACCCCTCCACCGCTCCTGGTAGTTCGCGTGCATCATACCATCTACTGGTGACCAGCCTTGATACAAAAACTGTGCTTCAACCAACTGTAGCGAAATATCGGTCAGCTTTCCTCAAGGAAATAATGACGGCACAGTCCAGTTAAACACCTCATGATCCATCCTGACACGCTTCTAAAACCTGGCTTCAGAGTCGCCTCTGAATGATGTTGGGGGCTCAAATTTCAACGGGTTATGTCCCACTGACTTTTAGATACACTCGCATCACAAGTTCCCATGGCTTTAGGCTGCAAGGCATCAATGATCTACAATAAACGTAAAAAGTCATGGGGGAGAGGCAATATGACCTTCCGTATGCAAATGGCACAAAGAGTCCCGGCTGGTCTCATCTGGACCCCTTTAATCCGAACTGCTTAATATATGCAGCTTCTCTTCCATCTGTCACCTACTTATCCGTTGTTGTGCTATAGGACGAAGAGCTTACGCGGGATAGCCTTCCCGTACGTCCTTGCGACATGCCCTGTCACTTGTGCGTACGCCGCAGGCTTTGTTTTTCTGCGCCCGGCCGCGGGCCGTGTCCACGGAAGCACCACCCAGCTCCGTACCGAGCACACACGTGACCGGCAGCCGGCCTCCCGTGCCACCGGCACCCGGCCGGCAGCCGGTCTCGCGCCGCTTTATCGATGGCCGACAATCGACCTGGCGATAGAGCAGGTGCACGCCCGGAGGCAGCCCTGATCTGCTGCCGCCTGGCGTCACACACCCAGCCGGACGGTGCGGCGGGCCCGCTCCACACCACACCGGGTTCAGCGCGTCCGGGGACCGAAAACCAGCGCGGGGCGCGGCGGCGGTCCGTTCCCCACCACGCCGGGTTCAGCGCGACCGGGGACCGAAAACCAGCGCGGGGCGCGGCGGGCCCGCTCGGCACCGCACCGGGTTCAGCGCGTCCGGGGACCGAAAACCAGCGCGGCGCGGCGGCGGCGGCCCGCTCCGCACCGCGCCACGACCCAGAGTATTCAAGGACCATTTCATAAACCGATTAGAGGCTCCGAGTCTCAACCACTCTTTGGCTTTCCCACAATGCAGACTGTACTCTCGGCCCATACAAATAGGCATGGGGACAAAGCAAGGCTTCTGGCCTCGGGGCTGAATCCGAAACGAAGACAAATGCACGGAGCCGCGGTGGTTTCGAAGTTTGGAACTGTGAAGCCGAAGCCCAAACCAGCGGTGTCGCATTTCTTAAGTGTGCCAAACCCGAAGCTATGGCTGGCTTGACGCATGCGAAGCTGAAGCTCAAGTCAGCGGCTTCCAAGACAGGAAATGCGAAGCCAAAGCTGAAACCATCAGTTCCAAGCCGAAGTCGAAGCCAGTGAATAACGTTGTTCTGCGAAGCCAATGCTAAAACAGCGGGATAAAACAGATTGTCACGGTCCTGCGAAGCGACTGCAACTAATCGGAAGTGATAAATCTTCACATAGAAGTGACAAAGTGACACGAAAGTGATGAATCTCACCACCTAGATGCATTACAAATGTAAGGCTGTTTTTGGACTGTCGCACTCCCGTGAGTGTCTCGCCTCTCATCTCTCTAACTCGTCTTGTGTGAGTGTGCGCAGAACGTTTCGGACAGACAGTCCTCTGGCCGTCATAAAGTGGCTTCAGGTTCTTTCTGAGAATGACTGGCTGGTTTCGACCTTTCAGCCATACCCGCGTTGCAACCTCGAACACTTGTGTGGCATCCTGGGTTCACAAGATAGGCACAGTTTTTTTAGTTACGTCGCAGCTGTAGTGAAGCAATCGCCACGACAAAGTCAAGCCAGCAGTTCAATATCGCACAAAGCCAAAGTCGGAGCCATAACTAAAAAACCATCCGAAACCTTAGCGATACCCGGCCATTACAAATCACAAAGAACCAAAGCCGAAGCCAACCGTTTACAGTGACACAAAGCTGAAGCCATTTGAGGAGAACTGCGGCTTAACGAACCCTAGGCAGCACTCATACGCCTGCATGCATCCTACAGCATTCGAGGTAGATCACGTCAGAGATGCGCTACCCCAGCGTCTCGAGGAGGCGACGAATGCCATGGTTACTGCCAAGCACCAGCTCAGACACCCGCCCGGTGCCACCAGCACTCATCCAGTGTCAGGTGCCGGCACTGCGCTATGGAAAAAGTTCATGTCCGATGTGGAACATTACCAGCTCAACTCTACCAGCCCTCTACAGTTGGGGCGAAAGTTAATTTGAGCACATGGTCATCGAGCGAGTGCGCCTTACACGAGAACGGCAGTCGGGCGATAGTGACGCCGTGCGACGGAAAGCGACCGGATGCCGCTCTGATATCCTGCCGTGAAAGTCTCCGAGCCAGAGCCGAGAACCGGGTCCCCTTAGCCCTCGCGCCCCGCCTCGCCTGACTCGGTCACGTACCGGTAACGTGAGGACCTCTGAGGCTGTCCCCAGCACCCCAGCCTCGCCTGGCCCGGTCACGTACCGGTACAGTGAGGACCTCTGAGACTGTCCCCAGCGCCCCAGCCTCGCCTGGCCCGGTCACGTACCGGTACAGCGAGGACCTCTGAGGCTGTCCCCAGCGCCCCAGCCTCGCCTGGCCCGGTCACGTACCGGTACAGTGAGGACCTCTGAGGCTGTCCCCAGCGCCCCAGCCTCGCCTGGCCCGGTCACGTACCGGTACAGTGAGGACCTCTGAGGCCGTCTCCAGCGCCCCAGCCTCGCCTGGCCCGGTCACGTACCAGTACAGTGAGGACCTCTGAGGCCGTCTCCAGCGCCCCAGCCTCGCCTGGCCCGGTCACGTACCGGTACAGTGAGGACCCCTGAGGCTGTCTCCAGCGCCCCAGCCTCGCCTGGCCCGGTCACGTACCGGTACAGTGAGGACCTCTGAGGCTGTCCCCAGCGCCCCAGCCTCGCCCGGCTGTGACAGACCGGTACAGTGAGGACCTCTGAGGCCGTCTCCAGCGCCACAGCCTCGCCTGGCCCGGTCACGTACCGGTAGCGGCCGCGGCCCGTGTCGCTCTCTTCGTCCGCCATGGTCGCTGACTAGCTGGGGCGCGCCGCCCATCGACAGCGCGGCGCGCGGCGCACGGCACCACCCCCGGCACCGTCACAGTACACAGTGCACCGTCTCCGCCGCTGGGCGGTGCAGGGGCACCGAGCCGGACCGGCCGCTGCCACCGACAGGACAGGAACACTGCACAACACACGGCCGCTGCCACCGACAGGACCGGAACGCCGCACAACACGCGGCCGCTGACACGCGCGTGCACCAGCACCGGCGGCTTCCGCGGAGCCGCGTCCGGCCTGACCCAATCTCGGGAGACGGCCGAGGAGGAGACACGCGGACACGCACAGCCGCACCGCTCCCGCCCGCGGAGACAGGCCGACACCGACTGACGGTCCGGCCGCCGACGTCACGGGAGAAAGTCGACTGCTTGGCCAGTCAGCTGGCGCAGCGGACGGGTCGAGGTGCGCGCAGCCCGTGTGAGGCCCGTTGCTCGTTAGCACATGGCAGCCCGTTCCCTACTTGGAGGAAGCCTGTTCGACGTTGTCACGGTCCGGTTCCATTCCTAACTAGGCCGTAGGTGTTATTGTTTACATCTACGACCTCGCTGTTTACATAGTGACGCTGTTGGTCGTCCTGCATGCCACGCAATTGGTTTAGTCTCGTTCACATGTGGACATATTTTCGACAATGCTTTTTTCGACGATGTTTTAGCCACAGAATTTCCCAATAACTGTTCGGCAGAATCATATTCAAGTGCTCCATTTCCGTGCGCTGTTCGTCTCCACACGCTAGAATCAGCTGAATCTACTCTTTTCCCATGTTTGGAATAAAAGGCGTTCTTCAGCGGTGTACATCCATAACGCCATAGGTTGCTACCTGAATGGGCGGGGATCGGCCAAAAGGCCGATAAAGAACTGGGCCCTGATGTTTAGCTCCGGTCCGGTGCGGTCCGGTACCCACTCAACGTGTGGCAGAATCACAGTCGGAGCCGGGAATATTGCTTGACGGGCGCGCACGTCAGGAATACGTCACCACGGTTACCCGGCCTACGAGGATGGTGGTGGTCACGGTCACAACACGGCTCGAC